TACTAAACATACATAGATATATAGATAAATAGATACATGGATATATACATTTACATATATACCTACACACACACATATATATATATATATATATATATGCAAATTCACGTATATACACATATACACACACACGCATATATATATATATTTATATATATATATAGATATATTTATATAGATATATGTATGTATGAATGGATATATATATGTATCCATGTATCCATGTATATATATATATATATATATATATATATATATATATATATATATATATATATATATATATATATATATATATATATATATATATATATATATATACTTTCACACATTTATTCATCTTGGTCGACGCACAGCAACATCCACAATAGAACACAAAAGCACTGAAACGTTTGTGCGAGTTATTCGCAATAGCTGATAAGAAGTAGAACATAAAACGCAATTGCGGTTTCCACGTACCGTCCTGCCGCCGTCTCGTTAATTGATGGAAAGGACTCTGTAGGCTTGAATTTGTTTCCATCAGCTGGTTAGCCGCCACTTCCCTATGGTTGCCGTGACCTATGAATGACAAAACATATCGTTCGAGAGCGTAGTGGTTTGAGTATTTTTGTCCAACACACAGCATTTTGGCGTGCAATATATCAACATGGAATGGCGCAAAATCGGACAAAACTATTACATCCGATGTCAATAGGCACTAGCTCAATATGGCCTCATGCTCTTTATTGGAATGCTATGCTTCATCTAGCAGAATATGCCAAATAAATTCAAGTATACTGCATTGAGGGCACGGTAGGCAACATCGAGCAAGTGCAAACCATTAAAAATTAAACATACCAGGAAAGGCCCCAGAGCCGCAGTTCGTGAGAGATAGCAGAAGACATAGGCTTAATAGAAGCCGGAAGCAGCAGCCTGTACTGCCTTTGAACATTGTACGGCGGAAGAAATACCGCTAAATACGTATATAGCACGGCAGTTTATCTAATAACTACAACGAAAGGGATATGAGACCGTTGCACCAACGAAGTTCTTTGCAAGTAGTACTGCTCAACTCGTGTGCATTCCCCTTGATTTTCTGCTGTTTGCACTGAGACAGAGTCTTCTGTTATTGTAGTAGCAGTAGACGGCAACATCATTATTCATAAATAGTAATTGGACAGGTCAATCCAACACATGAAGTCATTGAAGCCGTAAATATCAAATGTACCGACATTTTCGATATTTCCAGAGCCCAGACCGCCAGAGACACTGTAGAGGACTCCCTTAGAGGTGCCGAGGGCCCAGTCACCACTCACCAGTGTTAAAAAATATATATAAATATGTCATTTCCTTTTTTTTTTTGTAGAATGAATATATAGCAAATACATAAATAGCCGTCTACTAAAATACAGCAAATATCTCAAATTGTGCCCCGCTGGGTCTGTGGCTCTGTGCCCAGTATCAATCTATTTTTTGTTTTTAAGAAAAAACAACTCCAAAGCAGTTTCTTTTACGCTTGCTTTGTTTCGGTTTTTTAATTTTTACACAGAATCCAAAAATAAACGCACAGGGGCTGAGTGTAGAGTCGTAAATACAGACTCTACACTTACTAAGTCTTACAGTCTTGAGTCGTATATATTTTTTAACATAATTTAGAGTTCTCGCTCTATAAAGATTAATGACTCTCTTAGAGAGTAGCTCTCTACTATGTACAGCTCCTCTCCAGCTAGAGAGAGAGTAGAGGACTGAGGACTCAGAGTCTCAGCCCCTCAGGACTTGCGCCTTTTTTTGTTTTTAAAAATATATGTATAGCCTCTTAGTCTACGATATAAATAGGTCTTTGGAATTAGGTCCTGTCTGGGGGCGAGTCACAGGGGTATTTGAAAATATGTACTGTACATTTCATTTATTACTAAAAACCCAATTGCTAATTTTTGTTTTTGAGACAAATAGAGTACCGAAATATGCGTTAGGCTTTAAATATCGGACTCGTAAGTACAATTTTATTGGTTCAATTATAAAGGAATGATTTAAAAAAAAACTCCTGATATGAATATGTACAAAGGTATTTTTAATACTTATTTGCTTTCTTTGATTTTTCTAATGATTTCATTGGATATATTCCAAAACTTCCCACCGATATTTGGCCTTCAGTACTTCAGAAGTACGAGCTTACGAGGTACATTAGAGCCTCAGAGGGGGTGAAAATTGCAGCAGCTCGCCCTGAGCCGCTCTAATAAGGCAGTGAGGGAGCCGTCCATGACGATGAAGGTATAGACGATAGAGGTCTTTGCCAAATTGTCACGCTTGTGGCGAGTGATGAAATTGTCTCCCATACACTTGCAAGTGAGCATGACCAGTAGCCAAACACTTCAAACTTGCCATAAAGTCGTATCCAGAAGCTTCCTAAATTAGCGCTACGAGCGGAAGATACCAAGCCAAGTCACTTTGGGCTCTGCATGCTTGAATTGTCGCTCGTGCACTCATTGTTTGCGATTCGTGATTGTGGGGTTAGCTCCCCAAGATATATGTTTTAGGGTTTTAGCGTGCGAGGTAATGGCTGTAACGTTCTACGTATGTGCGATCAGGGCAACTCTGAGAGCCTACCCAGGATGTCATCCAACTCGTTCGCCACCGCTTCTACAGACAGATACTTAGACATTGGAGCATCCTGACCATTGCGTGACTCAGATTTCCGCTTTTTCTTTCCTACTTTCCTACTTTTCCTACTCTGCGCCCTGCTACGAACAGACGTACTTTCACGATCTTGTAGACCCAGATATGCCTGCATAGCATTGTACTCTTTTTCGTGGCTCTCTCGCACCCGCTCAAGTGATTGTAATCCATGCTGCAGTAAGTGCGAAAGTGCCTTCGTGCGTGCGAATATCTTAGTCCTCACTGCGAGCCACTCGGTCTTCTGAGTCGCCTGCTTGAAATCAGGTTCGGCAGTACTTTGCCCATCGGCACCTGCTTTCAGGTTTGTCTTGATACTTGATTTGAAACCCTCATCTGTCGTTATATGTGTGCGTATATCACTGATCTCGTATGAGCTTCTATCCGTAGACACCGAATATTCGACTTCGCTGTTGTCCGGTTCAATCAATTCGTTGTATTGATATGAATCGAAGTCGTACCATGCATTAGCAAGTACATCTTGTACCGCCCCTTGGAATTGCATCATAAGTGAATCAAGCGCCTCTTTATGCTCCAGCTCTTCCGGAGTTATAGTTTCCACACTGTTGCCATATTTGTCGATGGAATCATCTGCATTTATGGTCGCAACTGTCGGCAAAGGAGATTGTCCGGACATAGATACAACATTGTCCCGCCTGCTCGAAGGCATGTCTACATTCCTTGTACTCGAAGGCGTGAGCACGACCTGCATATACTTCTCATCCATTTCAGCGAAATGTGCGAGCGCATGCCTGAACCAGTCCCACTCTCTCCTTCTGTCCAATATGGTGTTGCGCTTCAAGTAGTCCGACAGGGGCGTGTTGATATTATTCCCGTGTGCAGCCTTTGTATTTTGTGCTGCTTGTGCATTGTCATGTTCGTCGGCATCATCGGCTGCGTGATGCTGATTGCGCGAAAGCTGCGACACATTCTGTACACCTTCACAGAACTGAGTGTCTATCGTATAAAAGTTTTGTCTGGCACCCGTCCCGGTCTTACCTAATGCGGCCCGCCCGCGTGCCCCCCATTCATTTGGATCATCACCTATCCTCCTCCTCTCATCATCAATGTAGTCGTTTATATTTCCATCACCGGATTCCTCTTCAAAATCACCGTGGTGTGCGTGCGATTTCTGGGCTTCAGCTTCGTTTTCAAGTACACCGATATCCGAATCATCATCTAAATACAGATTCAACAGTGCACTGTCCCCGTGGCCACTGCCTGTCACATCGCTGATCACACTCCGACCACGTGAATCGGTAGTGACACTCACAAACTCACCCAGGGGATACAGCGCACACGATGATGGCATATGTGATGCCCCTAAGGAGCACCTCCACCCCTTATTACTTGTTAAGGTGGTGTCCGGCCGTTTACCATCGTGCTCGCCTGAGTGTGTAGCACTAGTTGACTGTATTTCATCCCTGTCGGATAGCCGGGTGTTGCTGGTGTGTGTGGGTGGTGTGAATGTTTTGTCAAGTGGTTCCGCAGAGACCGGCACCTGCACTGCAAATCGACATATCACGTTATCAGTTGCAGACACCTCTTCCCGCCTGATGTCATCCCAACCACTGGAGGATGACTCGCCGTCTACCACAGCACTTTTGTGGGGAGATTCTTGTACATCATCGTACTGGTGAGTTTTTTGTGCTTGATTGTGTACGTTGCCGGTATGTGGTGTGTGCACGTCTCCAGGCGCTTCACGCTTTTCCTTGGTCACCACACGCGGTTTCAGATACAAGAGTGGCACACTCCCACCACCGCCATCGGTACTATCGCTAAACACACCCGACCGCCGTTCAAACGCGTCTCCCCACTCCATCATCAACCGACGAGTCTTGCCCATGCGTTCCCTGGTGCTGTGAGTACTAGCTGTAGCCTTGCTCGTATCTCTCCTGCGTGCGTGCTTGTTTCTTCTGCCCCTGCCCTCCCCTTTTCTCTCTGGCGTCGTTTCATTTGTGCTATGTTTTGTGGTGAGCGAAAGCGTTGTCTCGTCGTCAGCACAGCTCGACCTGCGTGTAAAAGGTGTACTGGTTTAGAACAATATATACCAAACTTGTTTTGGTGCGAAAGCTTGATTCATTGATATATTTACGCATGAGACCAACGATAATATCTGCACTCAGTGACTGAACTATATACCAGTGCACCCTATAACCTTCGCATGCAATAAAGAGTGTGCGTGTGTGCATTAAAATCTAGTGGCGGATTGCTTATCCTGGCGCGAACAAATAAACTGGGTTCGAGAATAACTCTAACTTCGGCACAGATAGTTCAGGGAATATATCCAGGCAATACATACAGACGTACAATCACAAAGTACCCTACTATGAAGAAATATAGAGTGAACAAGCAATGAATTGCATCAGTCGGAGATAGCCTCCTCGCACTCACCGGTGAACGTCGAATTTTGGGCTGCGACTCACAAGAAAGACGTCGTGGGGATCTAGCATGATGTTGTTTGAGTATGATCGACAGCACCCGCCACAGCCAGTGCAGGAGAACTGGAATATATCTGAATCAGTGGCCAGCATTTTCTGTCCTTTTGCTATGGCATTGTATGCGTTGAGAGAGAAGTCTGTGCAGAGTCGCGTTTGAAATAGATTAGTTCAATATTGACTGTAATTGAGCATGTGCTGTACGCCTGCATCATGAATGGATGTGACGAGCAAACCTGTTTGTTATTAGTTCGCTCTATTTGATCCGAGACGATGGATCATCGCGTGTATTCGCCAAAACAGATCCAACACACTAGTAAGATCAATCACCATGCCAGTATCCAACGCAAAGCTTCGTTTACCTTAACATGTAGATCGATTGATAACTCATACATATATACAAAGATCCACACATGTATCAAACGCAAATTTTACGAATAGAAACGTATACAAATATTAATTTTTAAACCTTTGAACCTCAAATCGAGCGCACACGAGTATGATATGAGCGTACAATGTCAGATAATCCGAATTCATTTTATCTGCAAGGATATGAAAGTACATAACAAAGATATACCAATGTATAACCGTACATAGCACTATACCTATGATATATATATATATATATATACATTCTTTGTACAGTGGGTTATACATATATATATATATATATATATATATATATATATATATATATATATAGTTCACATATCGTAATAGTATATGTTTCATATTTAGATTTGAAAGTGATTGCATAAACCGGACGATTTCTGATCACACTGATTATACCAGGTTATAACGTGTATTTAGACGTATGCGTACATGATATGATTGCATCATGCTTGCTCGCTCTAAAGACCTTGTTTCTAAGGCTGTATTTGCCTCGGGAATTTGCTCATCAATTGATTGCACTAAATAATCAAGGTAGTATGTCGATGAAAACAGTGCAGCGATGTAGTTCCAACTACATTAGATTGACACGTATAAGACTCACTGATAGCTTGTCGAATACGAATAGCTGATTGGTAGGCATATATGATATAGTATCCAACTACCTCATTTCACAAAGCATTGCTACGCAAAGCAGACAATCACTGATGGCAGAACAGTTCATAAGAACGTGGAGAACAGTTACAAACTCAAAGAACACTGCGAAACAAAATGAAAAATGAGAATGCACATGCGATTCAAAGCTACCATTCCACCTTCACCATAACAAACCCGAACACGGCCACACTCAGTAAAGCTATTGGAATACATGCCTGGTGCCACAGTGTACTTGTGGCTGGAATTCGTGTCATCGTTTGCGAAAGCTTGAAGTTCTCGCCGTAAGGACGCCGTGCTCAGTCCTGGTGCTGGCTGTTCCACATGACCCTCGTGAGATGCACTGAAACATCTCCTCTGCCACCAAAGTACGTCGACCATTTCCTCCTTTGATCCGCTTCCCTTTACTTCCAACAACAGACTCTTATTGGAAAGCTTACCTACTATCGGCCTGGTATACGATGCTGACGTCCTTAAAACATACTTTCCAATAGGACCTAAGCTTCGTTGGAAATTTGATTGAATGATACGTGGTATATCTCGGCGAGTGACAGTGAACCCCAACCTTTTGTGTAGCAATTGTGAAGCCATATTGATGTAGTCTGATGTTCAACGTGCCTTTTTGTGTGAATGGTCTTTTAGTCCAAGGAATAAACAATCAAGCGATCAATGACATAAACCAACGACATCAACAGCCTTCTCCATCGAACAAAGCGTAGTCTTTATCTTTATTCGACTATGCATACTCTAAAAAGAAAATTGATGGATACAGTCGTGTCACTCTACCTCTACCTCTACCTCTTTCTCTCTCGCTCTCGCTCTCTCTCTCTTTCTCTCTCGCTCTCTTTCTCCCTCGCTCTCTTTCTCTCTCGCTTTCTCTCTCGCTCTCTCTCTCTCTCGCTCTCTCTCTCTCTCTCTTTCTCTCTCTCTCTCTCCTCTCTCTCTCTACTCTCTCTCTCTACCTCTACTCTCTCTCTCTCTACTCGTCTCGTACTACGTACGTACGTACGTACGTACGTACGTACGTCGTACGTACGTACGTCTCTACG